TGGGAGGTTCTTGGTTAGAGGCCAGCCCAAATGAGACCTCATCTCAACCAATGTCTGGACGCAGTGACATGTGCCTGTCATCCTAGCTAAGAGGGTTAATACAAATAGGAAGATAGTGGTCCAGGCTGGCTTGGGCATAAAATGACACCCTATCTAAAAAATAACCGACACAGGGCTGGGGTGGTGGCTCAAGTGGTAGAATGCCTGATTCACAAGCAAGAAGCCCTGAGTTCAAACCCCAGTACCACAAAAAACAAAATGAAAAATAGCCAACACAAAAAGGCTGGTATAGTGGCTCAAGTGGTAGAGCACCTGGCTAGCTCAACTCCCAGTACCATCAAAAAAAAAGGGAAGGGGATGGACAAAGGTTCCTAATTGAAAACAATACCCCCTAAAGAGTGAAGCCCTGCAAGGGATAAAGTCCTGGGGATTGAACTCAGGGCCTTGTGCTTGCTAGGCAGGTGCTCTACCACTTGAACTATGCCCCCAGTCACAGAAGTTTCTTAATGTAGGACTTATTAGACACTGCTAGTCTCCCACACAACACTCCCAGGGTTGGAGGTATGGCTTAAGCAGCACAGCACCTGCTTAGCAAGCATAAGGCCCTGAGTTCAAATCCCTGGACCACCAAAAAAAAAAAATCCAAATTTAACAGAGTATCCATTCATCCAGGACCTAAGGTCAATAAAAAAGTAGTCCAGGAGCTTCACTCAGTAATACATGCCAGGTACTCTGCTGACAACTATTCCTGGAGAAGATGGGTGGTTCTCAGTTCCAGACCTCAAAGATACCTTTTTCACAATTCTGGTAGAAAATGAATCCCAATGGCTCACGCCTATATTCCCAACTACTTGGGAGGCAGAGATTGAGAGATTTGCAGATAGTGATCAGCCCAAGCAAGAAGTTATCGAGATCCCTATCTCAATAAGCCAGGCATAGTGACCCAAACCTATGATCCCAGCTGGAAGGGAGGTGGCAGGTAGGAGGATGGGGCAAAAATGTGAGATCCTGCCTGAAAAATAACAAGGAAAAAAAAAAAAAAGCTGGAGGCATGGCTCAAGTGGTAGAGTACCTATCTACCAAGTGTGAGGCCCTGAGTTCTAACCCTAACCCTAGTATCACCTCACAGACATACACACAATTCCAGGAACTATGTGCATTTGAGTGGCAGAACCCAGACAGACATTCGGTAAACTCAACAATACCATTGAACTGTACTGCCCCAAGCCCGTAAGAATTCCCGGCTAAAGACCTCAAGTCAGACTCTTGTGAGCCCAACATATGACAAGTGCCTTGTCAACACAAAAATAAAAGTCTCTGAATTATTTAGCAGACTGTGGATACAAAGTGTCTCAGAAAAAGGCACAAATATGCAATCAAGACATCATCCGCTTTGCTTGGTCCCAGGGGCAAAAAGCCCTTTTTGCCAGACTGTAAACATGTTTGGAAGCAACCAAGATTTTTTTTTAGGAATGGTTGCTTCTTACAGAATTTGGATCACCAATTATGGGCTTATATAAAACCACTCTACAAAGCCCTGAAGGGACATGATCTTGAGCCTCTAGAATGGACTAAGGAATGCTGAAAGCCCTTTGAGGGCTGGGCTGTAGTTCAGTGATAGACTGCTTGTCTTGCAAGCACAGGGCTGGGGACTCACTGTGCCCTCTGATGTAGTAGTCAGTAATGGCCCCTGCTCTGGGACTTCTTGACTTGCAAAAGCTATGCAGCCTGAATGTTCATGAAAAACAAGGAATAAGACTTGGAGTTAAAACAGCCCTTAGGAAATGTGTCCACTGGCATGTTTTTCCAAACAACTGGATGACACAGCTAAAGGATGGCAATCCTGCTTGTGAGTGATTGGAGCCACTTGTGACATTCTATAGGAGGCAGCACCTTTGTGTACATGCCCTACCATATCCTCTCCTTACTAGAACAGCAATGAGGCTACTGACCCACCCCATGAAGAATGGGGAAGGGTACCTCCACAATGACTCTAGCCACTTGCTCCCAAATGAGGCCTGACACCAACCCCAAATACAACTGCTAGCAGGTAATTGAACTAGTAGATTCCAGCCAGCTGATCTCTCTGACCAGTCTTTGCCCAGCTCCAAACTAGAACTATTCACAGACTGGAGCAACTTCATGGACCAAGGTAAATGTGGAGCTGGGAATGCAGCAAAAACCTTGTAAGAAACATTGGAGGCAAAAGCACTGCCTTTCAGAAACTTAGCTCAGGAGACAGAAATCGCTGCCCTTACTAGGACTCCTCCCTAGCCAAGGGAAAATGGGTAAGCGGGTCCTGGAAGTCTTTAGGTATTAGAGGCTGCTCACAAGCCTCTCCAGGTGGTGGTAAGACACTGTTATGGCCACCAGAAGGGGGAGAGCTGGTAAAGAAGGGGAACCAGCTGGCTACAAAGCAGCCAAGAAGGCTGCAGGGGTTGATAACTTCACAGCTCTAATTGGAACTCTGATTTTTCAAACTGACTTATTTCAATATTAGCTCATACTGATAAAGACAAGAAAGGGGTGAATAATGGGATTACATTTCTGAGCAAGCAGTGCCTTGATGGTAATGCCATGCTCAGGGAATAATTCTGATCCCAGAAGTCCTCCTACAGACTGTGATAAGACATCCTCAACAACACACATTACGGGACCCAAATTACAAGTAACTGTTCACCATGTCATTCATAACTCCCTGGTATATGCCAAGCATAGAGGCATATGCCTGTGATCCTAGCCTCAGGAGGCTGAAGCAGAAAAATCATGAGTTCAAGATCCTAGACTATATGATGAGACACTGTCTCAAAAAACAAAACTAAATAGCCCTGTCTAGTATGTGCCAAAAATAATCTGAAGGAGGTACTACCATCAAGCCTCCCTAGACAGTATTTCAGCTTCAGGAGAATGGTCCAGTCAAAGACTAGCAGGTTGGTTTCACTCAGATGCCACACTGTGGGAACCTGCAGATCTTTTCCGACTGGGTTGGTGGGTGGAAACCTATCCAACATGCACTGAAAAAGCACTTGAAATGGTCAAGGCAAAGAGGATCAGACTAGCTGAAATACTTCTAAGAGCCTGTTCGTCTGTCATACTGCCATAGTCAAATCATCACTCCATCACATGAGGGACATCTACACCCACTGTGACCATTCTGAGGTCACTGAGTTTTGGAGACCACAAGCATTTAAGAAAAATGAAGGCTCAGCCACATAAACTGGCAATATCTATCCTTTTCCCCTTAATGACTGTACAGGTGCTTCATAAAATCACCTGTATTTGACCAGGAACTCTGGTTGTGGGGAAGAAAGCTTACCTATTTAAATCAAGATGTCTCCCCTTAATATGGTCATGTACTAGTTGGACCCGTTCTCAATGTGCCCTTTAGCTCTGGATTTATTTGGCATATTTACTATATAAGAGGTCCAAACGAATATTTAAGAGACAATCTCCTTTGAGGTCCTACCGGTAACTATACAAGAAGGATCTTTTAAAGGGGTACACCTAGTGGGAATGGGAACAATCCACATGGGAAGAAGATGTGCCACCCCAAGTGAGAGCCCATCTCAGTATTAGGCTGCATCCAAAAAGGGGGGGTTATGGTTTGCTCCCAAGAATAAGACAATGGTGACTTAAGCTTAATCTGGTCTAGAGTTAGAACTCTAATGCAGAACATTTGGTATACAGGAAAGGGCAGATTTTGTTGGGAAGAAATAAAAATTATGAGTTCTGTGAAGCATCAGAACTAATGTTAGAGCAAGTGTTCACCTGAATAGGCCAGGATTTCTAACTATAGATTAAGCAGCTCCATTCTGTTGTCACCCTGCCTTCAGCAGGAAGTAACTAGAGAAGTCATCACTCATTGTTCACAAAATTGTGAATGGAGTACTGCTGGGGGTCGGGGAGCCTGTGGCTGCTCTTATGGTGTCCTCTGCTGGAAAGGGCCTGTGTCTTCCTCAGCTCACAGTCCTCATTCATCATTTAAACTAGCAGAGCAAATCAAAATTATCAGCTACTATGTGTCCTTAGCCCTTTCCTCCTAAAGACTACAGGAACTAAATCTTGTGTTAAGATGGCCTTAGGGCCATAGTCCGCCATTGTTCTTAGTCTTGCTGGCTTACCAACTAAATTATTTTCCTTATACCAACACCTTGTCCTTTTCAAGTGGGAAGTAAATGGACTTGAGTTCACCAACAGGTTATTTTTTGGAGTAGAACCTTGCCTTTCTGGCTATCTGGCTTATTGCTAGCTTTAATATATTGAGAGCTGGGCGATATGGTGCACAATTATAGTCCCAGATATCCAGGAGATGGAGATAGGAGGATCATTCCAGATAAAAGTGTAAGACTATCTGAAAAACAAACTAAAAGAAAAAAAGAACTGGGGGCGTGGCTCAGCAAGCGTGAGGCCCTGAGTTCAATCCCCAGTACTACCAAAACAAAAAAAAGATTTTTTGATACCTAACTGAAATAATAATCAATGAAGGGATGGCTCAGAGGAAACAGGTACCCTGCTGGTTGCTCCCAAGCATTTCCACCTTTTTAAAGAGCACAACATCCACTGTCATCACAGGCAGAACCTGTTCTAGTCATTCCAAATTGGAGAACACAACTCACAGTAATAATCCAGAAAGTGAAGGAAAACAAATTTGCATAAATATTTACAGCACTGGAAAAGCGAAATTCCTAATGAAACTGTCAGTCAATATATAAACTGTCCACACAAATAATTGGGACAATAGAACACAATGTCAGTTACTGGAAACACACTGAAGAGAAACCATAAAAGCACACAGACACATGTTAAATGATCGAGTGATAGAAGGCACTGAAGTTAAGGCTCAATCAATTTGATTCTTTTGCAAAGATGACTGTTCCAATTTTAAAAGCCAGGGAAGCTGCAGAAGACAGAAGCAGATATGAACCTTCTCTTCTCACTGTACCAAAAAAAGACCCAAAGTCAATGTTAAAAACTCTTTGGCCAAAGGTTTACGTTCTTACCTGTTTGCAGTCCATGTCTGGTTGAAGATAGAGGTGTCGCTGAAGGAATTGCAGAGGATGAGGGAATGGACTCTAGGAGATTTGTGAGTGTACTCAGCAAATTTCTGAGCCAAAAAGCCTCCCAGAGAAGCCCCAAACAGATGAACCTAATTGTAAAACAAATAAAGCAATCCCAGAACACTGATCAATTCTCAGTGTAAATATCAAAAAAGTTGCTTCTATTATCACTACCACAGAGTACAATGTCACTTCTACCCAACAGACTAAAATATCTGCAGCAGCTAGAAATTTAGGAAATATTAGATTTAAATGCAAGTTATATACCCTATCAAGAAAACAATACAACTGTGCATATAAATTATACAAGGTGAAAAATACTATTCACTGACTGCATTAGCAAACAAGACTACTGGCTAGGCGTGATGAATCATGCCTGTAATCCCAGTACTCAGGAGGCTGAGGCAGGGGGGTTTTGAATTCAATACCAACTTGGGCTACACAGTGAGACCCTGTCTCAAAAACAAAACAGAAAGGTGGACATGGTGGCACACACCTGCAATTCCAGGTACTCTGGAGATTGATGCAGGAGGATTTTGAGTTTGAGGCGAGAATGAGCAATAGGGAGACTCTATCTCAAACAAAATGCAAACAAAAGGCAGGGGCATCGCTCAAGTGATAGAGTGCTTGGCTAGCATTCATGAAGCCCTAGGTTCAATCCCCAGTTAACACAAAAATGAACCTTAACTAAAAATGAAACTACTTAATAGTTTATGTTTCAGAGAACTAGGAGGGCTGAGGATGTAGCTGAGTGGTAGAGCACTTGCCTAGCATGCAGGAAGATCTCAGTTCAATCTCAAGCACCTCCCCTTGACCACCCCCCACAAATTACAGCTGAGTAATTGCAACTCTAGGTACATATGCAAAAAAACTGAAGACATATGTTGACACAAAAACTTGTGCAGGATTATTAATGACAGGCAAAACAGAAACAACCCAAATACGCTTCAACTGATGAATGGATGAACACTAGTGCCCAACTACTTAAAAAGGGTAAGTTGAGCCTGGCACTGGTGGCTCACACCTATAATCCTAGCTACTCAGGAGGCAGAGGTCAGGAGGATCATGGGTCAAGCCAGCCCCAGGCAAATAGTTCCCAAGACACTATCTCAAAAAAAAAAACCTCACAAAAAAGGGCTGGCAGTGTGGCTCAAGTGGTAGAGCAATTGCCTGGCAAGCATGAGGCCTTGAGTTCAAACCCCAGTGCGGCCAAAGGAGAAAAAAAAGGGCAAATTGTACAGTTAGCGAATTATGTCATAATAAAGCTATCATTAAACAATAAAAGTCAACATGTGATTTTATAAGATATGTGTTGTGCTAAAATCACAAATAAGTAGTTAGTTTCAAGGTACTCACTTTATCCAATTGTAAATGGTCTAAAAGTTTTCTGAATCCATCACAGAATTCAAGATGGTCCCAATAAACTGGATACTGCAACTGGAATAATAACAATTTTTATTTAAAAAACTGTGGAAAATTACAACTCTTATTTGCGAAAATTAGAACTCATAGCATTTCTCACTTAAGCTTTGCTTCTTAATTCAAAATATATGAAAATAAGCTCTCACCTTCTTCTAAACTTCTGAATTCCTATTTACCTAAGAGACCAAAATTTTAAAAAATAGGTGAACACACTCCAGTAGTATTTCATGAATAACAACTTCAATTCACATCAATTTCTTTCTAAGTGGCTGAGGAGGTCTGAGATTAAGGGGGACAGGGCAAAACTCATTCAAGTAAGGAAATACTGTTTGAAACCGAGTTTCATTCTGAACTAAGAATATGATGCTCAGTTGAGAACAACTGGAAACAAAACCTGTTCTGAGTAGCATGCCCTCTCTTTTTAGTAGCATTTCTTTAAGGAGTGTTCAAAAGATGATTCTTTTTAATCGACTTAGTATTCTGATATCCTGTACTTTTATTTATGACAAAAGGATGTATGGTACTTGATCCCAAGTAGCTTGGTAATACTGTGGTGGTAGGGAAAAAGAAGTATAAAGCACAAACTCATTTCTAGGGGGCTCCAGCTATTCCCTAAGAATTTCCTTTTTTATACATATAAAATACATTCAACAGGCTTGTTGTTTAAGCACTTAGATTAATTTTGCCCTTGAAAGAAAATCACTGGAATAGATAACCACCATGAGAATTACGGAAAAATTCTGGATTTGATGTAATATATTACTTTTATTATTAAAATTCTGTTTGTGGATAAGATTTCCACCATTCTGAGACAGGATGCAGAACCGATTCTCTCTAGCAGGAAATTTGAGAATTGGAGTCAGCAAGGACCTAAAAGAAAAAGGATTTTTTGTTTTGTTTTGTTTTGTGGTACTTGGGTTTGAACTCAGAACCTTCAGCTTGAGCCATTCCACCAGCCTTTTGTGTGTGTGTGTGTGATGGGTTTTTACGAGATAGGGTCTCACAGACTGCCTGGGCTGGCTTCAAACCACAATCCTCCTGACTTCTAAACAGGGTATTTTTATGAAGCCTTTAATTAAAAGATATCCATACCAGGCTGGGGGTGTAGCTTAGTAGTAGAGTATGTGCTTAACATCCTCAAAGCCCTGGGTTTAATCCCCAGCATCAAAAAAAAAGAAAAAGAAAAAAATAATCCTATATGCAGGTGATAAGGTTGTATGCAATACACACACACACACACACACACAAACAATACAAATAAAACTTGGCAATTTATTTATTTATTTATTGGCAGTACTGGGGTTGAACTCAGCGCCTCATGCTTGTTAGGCAGGCACACTACTACTTGAGCCACCCTTCCAGTCCAAAACTTGGCAAATTTGAATAAGATCAGCAGACTGTAATAATGTCAATATCCTAAACATCCTATAGTTTTGCAAAACGTTACCACTGGGGAAAACTGGACAAAGTATAAAAGTATAAAAGGAATCCAAAATCAAAGGGTCAGCAAGTAAGCTTGCTCTGGAATCTGCTGGGGAGCCCTTCCTTCCCTTCTTCCTAGATTCTGGGGCAACAATGGTGGGCATTCCTTAGCAGCTTGTGACTGCTCAGATCTCTCTTCATTCCCGCACAGCATTCTGGCTGTGTCTGTCTTTCCTAGGCTATGTTTCTAGTAGAACGTCAGTGTATTGGCTTAGGTGTCCACCATACTCCAGTATGACCTCATCTAAATTAAGTCCACGGTGATAATTTTCAAATAAAGTCACATTCTGAGTTTGGGGACCTTCGACATTCCTTTGTTACAGGGCGCGAGCGTCAGTCTGTGGTCGCCTGACTCTGTCTCAGGCCTGAGTTAGGCAGAGCATCATGGCAGAGAGGGTGGAGTAGACCACAGCTACTCACCTCATGGCAGCTGGGAGGCAGAGGCAGGGATGCCGAGGCTGCTCTTAGCAAAAGCTTTGAACACTGCTGGCCTTTTCTTGATTTACTGCCTAGCTACTGAAACGGGAAAAGTTCACACCAAGAACCTCGAGGCTAGTTAAGTATCAGGCAGAAACCAAGGCTACAGCTGGGGGTGGTAAATGCGCTGTCAGCATGGCCCCTCACCGGGAGACAGATACCTGAGGGAGGCTAGCTTCCCTACCCAGGCTGCAGCACATGAAGGATGAGGAATCACCCAGGACACAGGGGGTCAGCTACAGAGGCCCAAATGCACCAGCTGAGGGATATTTTCCTTCTCTAAGGAAATGAGAAGGAAAGGGCTGGGGCGAGGCCAGGATTTGCTTGGTGTGTCCCCGTTGGTGGTAATCCCAGTAGAATTTTCAGTTGCCTTCCAAGAGAAGAGAGTCGAGCCACTCTCTCCTGTACATAGTAACTGACATGTGTAAAACAGCAGGGCTCCACAGGGAGCCTCATGGACATGCTAACATCCCAGGTCCCAGAATCCACTATCAGCTGCAAAGCTAAAGGAGGATCCAGTCTCTCTCCTCACAACCGAGCTGTTCAACAGGCACAAAACATCAGTCACAGTAATAGAGACTTCCCCACGCACACCATTCTCCCAGAGAAAGGGATGTGAGAAGACCAGTGCGAAACTAGATTGAGACTAAACTCAGCTATGAATAGTCAGAAACAAAACACTCCTTAACCCACCCCAAGGACATGAGCTAGCTAAAGAAACCCACCTCAAATGTCAGGTTTACATTAAAAGTGAGCTTTCCCATCACCTGTCAGTTAGCAGGTCCCTCTTCTGCCTCATGTCACATGTTCAGTTCCCTGGAATCCGTGTTGATATAACGAGGAGGAGGGGAAATCAGAGTCAGGAGTCTGAGCTCAGTTCCTCCCTCCACCACTTACTGCCTATGTGACTCAGGGCGATCACTAAGATGACTGGGACCTCAGTTTCCTCATCTACACACGGGGACAAAATGCTACCTTCTACTCAAGGGTTATGAGACATGTGTCAGCAGAGAATACTGTAAAATCTGGTCTCAGAGAGGGCCGCCAATAGCCGTTTGTCCCCTTGGAATCTCTGTATGTCTGTGTACACATACCAGGTTCCTGCAAAAGGCTTCATCTCACATTTTAAAATAGGAAAACAGTATCTTTAATAAAAGTGCCCTTTGCTATAGTTGATCAGAAACAGAGGTGCAAACCCCACAAATCTGAATTTTAACACTGACACAGTAATACTTACGGCTATAACCCGGTAACCCCATCCAGTCAAAGCCAAAATCTGCTGGAAAAACACATCTGCAGTTCCGCTGACAGGTGGAAGAAATATGAGGGGACACCTGATACTTCTGGGGCCCGCATCATAGAGTGACCATATCTTACTGTCATCATCATCTACAATAATCTGGAGGGAAAGTGACAAGAAAAAAGGAGACCTTATGAATTTGGGGTTGAGGCATTACTTTACACTATTCACTGGCAATTTTACCACTGCTTTGTTCGTTACAGGTAAACTGGGGATCACATGTTAGCACAATACACTGCTTTAGTATCCTTTTCTGTCTTCAGTGCTAATGGATTCCACAGAAACACTTTGTAAGCTTCCAAAGAGCTGCTTTCTATGTTTAATTCTCCTGTCCATCCATGGTAACAGGAAGGACCTATTCTGTTGACCATCAAACAGTAAACTCTGTACATGGCACACTTCTGACTGTGTGTGTGCATGTGTACAAGGATGGCAGTTCGCAGTCATTTTCCGGGAAATGCTGGCTGGGATCAGCAGGGTCACAGCTTAAACAAGAGGCCAGAGAGGCTGCAACTCCAGCTCTGGGGAGAAGCAGGGTAGAGATGGTACCAGCTCAGGAGATGCTTCAAGACCCTCATCTATACCAAGCCTGAGGGCAGGAGACTTCTGCTCCAGAGGAAGAATGGGGCAGATGTTTATGTCAGTCCCAGGACAATGTGTCAAACCATGCAGTCAGGGGCAGGGAGTAGGCACAAGGAAAAACTTGCTTTTGGGGGGAATTGAGGGCGAGGGGGAGAAGGGCATCAGAGACCCTCCTTATTGAGTAGTTCTTAACCCAACAGGGGGAAAAGAGCATTAAGTGAGCTAAGGTTAAGCCAGCACTGAGCACAAGCTTGGCAGGTGCTGAGTGTTCAATATGTGTTAGCTATTGTAATTCACTGCAGGAACATTTGCCAATTCAAAGCAATATTCATTCTACTTTCATATTTAAAAATGCTAGGTGGCCACATCCTTTTGAGAGCTCCTAGCTGGCAATGCCGTGGACTCCACAGTGCCACTCTGCAGGTGGCAGCACGCTAACCAGGGTCACTTGTATCACCAAAAGCAGACACACGGGGCAAAACAACATCAGGAGAGGCTAAACATTTCCTTTTGGACTTCCCTCCAGGTGACAGGCGGTGACAATATAGCTCATGCTTTTGACCGTTGTATTTTGCCACTCACAGTTTTCTTTTCATGTTTCTTTTTGCCATAATTGCGTTTTGTTTTTAAAAACTCTTCACTAAGAGTTTCACAGTGCATACCCATAAATCCCAATCATACAGTAATAAAATCACTTAAGACAAGCACATCAGTAAAGTTTTCTAGGGAATTATTTCAATAGTTGCATTTGGTTTGAACTTATGGCTTTGAGTTTGCTCTTCTTGAACCACACCCCCAGTCCTTTTTTTGCTTCATTTTTCAGATATGGTCCCATGTTTTTTGCCTGAGTAAGCCTCAGATTCCTACTTACGCCTCTCATGAAGCTGGGATTATAGGTACAGGAAACCAGGCCCAACTTGTTCTTTGAGATAGGGTCTTGCTAATTTTTTTTTTTTTTCCCCTGGCCTGGCCTAAAACTACAACCCTCCTATTTCCACATCCTAAGGTATGAGCTGCCACGCCTGGCCCCTCACCTCTTCTTTCGGTGTGGGCAACAGTCTCCCAGGAAGCAAAAAAGAAAGGGGGGGTACTTTTGTAAGCATCCCAAGTTCTTCTAACTTTGAATCCAAATGTAGTATAGTAGAAATGAAGCACAGATGTCGTTATCACTCATACTAAAATGAAGAAAATCTTTACAAAATAAACTTTATCCTAAATTTTAACATGTTACAAAAACTAAGCCATTTCTTTCTCTAAGCTGGTTGTTACTTTTCAAGCACACATAGTTAATTCTGGAATATTTTCTACCCAGACAGACTTGAAATACTCCCCTATCATCTCAATACTTCCTATGGAGGCATTCTTGAGTCCTGCTTTTCTAGAAACAATTATTCTAAGGGGGGAATATAAAAAGCATGCTAAGCAGATAAAATCTCAATAGATTTATAAAACACCTTTCTAATCTGACTTCACTCCCTACTCTACCAGACTATGAGACCTTTAACATGCTAATTGACGCCAGGAACCTCAGTTTTCTCATCTTTGAAATGTGTACCCTAGCACTCACCTTGCAAAGCCATTCAAAGAATTACATAAGGTATCTGGGGAGTTCCCACCACAGCGCCAGGCTTACAGTAGGTATCCTGCTTACACCTGGAGAACTGTAGCTTAGATTTCTAGATGAACAATTTTGTTATTAATTCAAACCTGCAGAGTCATTCTAACAAAGAACACAGATGCTCTTGAGCTCATAGTATTCTAATACTGCAGCAGGGGAAACAACAAAGATTTCACTTTGATGTGATCAGCCTCTGTCTAGTGGGATCCCCAAGCATTTACAATTAACCTGGGGCTCAGAGGCATAGTCAAACTTCAGTGTAAGTATCGAAGTTTACTAACATCCTAAGCAAATAGGCTTTTGGAGGGTGACTAGGGTAGAGTAAGTGATTACTGCAAATGAGCCTGCATACGTAACCCACTGTGAATCTTAAGTTTCAGGAACAGAAGGAGAATCTCCTGTAGGGCTAGGAGCATGGCTTGCTCAAGTTGTACAGAGTCTGCCTAGCAAGTGTTTTTAAGGCCCTCAGTTCAATCTCCTTCCCCGCCCTCCCAAAAAAGTTGACTACATGTGACACGAGGGGTGAACTTTATGCTCCATAACCCACAGCCATGATATTTGGCAATAATTTTTACACTCAAACACTACTAAGGTGTAGCATCTAAACCACACACAAAAACAATACAATATTTTACAAATAAGAGGTGTAGTAAAGCCATACATACCTTTTTAAGGGGGACTGTACTTCTAAACCAATTATAATCTGGAGAGACTTTAATCTCTCCCATGATTAGTTGAAATGGAGTTTAACCCTGAAATAAAAGCATGTGATATTTCATGTCGAGAATTCATATTTACATCAGAACTAAATGCAAAGTCTGGTCTAGCTATACCAACAATACTTTAAAACCAAGGAATGGGCTACTTTACCTTGTCAATTACACATACAGAAAATAATTTGATGATATAATCACAGAGAGATCATTATTTCAAACTCCTGAACGCCCCCAGAAGAGGAAGATTTAAATGACTTACCAGAGATCACATGGCTATTGCAAAACTGGGCTCAGATGCAGAGCAGTATTTTCTACATCACACTGCCTGTTCTAACTAAACCATTCCGAACTGCAGGACCACTGCTATCTTAAGATACTATCTTAAGAATCCACCTTTTTAAAGATGCTCCTGTGGGGGGCTGATTCAAGTGGTAGAGCACTTGCCTAGCAAGTATGAGGCCCTAAGTTTAAACCCTAGTACTGCCAAAAAAAAATTCTGATTATAGGGAACAGCCCATGTGAGAGAAAGGGGTTAAAACAAGCCTGTGACCTTATCAATTCACAATAGGCCATAAATCTAACTGTAATGCAAAGTAACTTATAGAAACTCAGGTTATTTCTTAATACAAAACACAGGCCAATGTGCCATTCTCATTGATATGATTAAAAGATACACAAAAGTTACTCTGAAAGACTATGACATAAACTTGAAGGCACTATAGCTAGCAACAAAATGTCTAGAAAAAAAATGTGGACTTTTGTTGAGTTTAGTGACTTCTACCTTTTACAGCTCCAAGACCCTGGGTAAGTCAGGGCTCTGTTTGGGCTTGTTTTCTCATCTTTGAGTTTCACCCCTGTACACCCAGAGTCTAGAACAGTACTTGGCACACAGCAGACATGATCTGTTAAGTGACTATGTCCTAAGGAGAATGAACTAGGTAGGACCTCCTAGAGTCTTCTCTAACCTTGACATTTGTGAGCAATTTAAAGGCTCCCCTCTTTGCTCAGGCCTCTGTGTTATGTGCTAACGGGAACCTGAAGTTACAGTTCCCTGTTGCAGATTCTACTGCCAAGTGAGGAGATTCCATCCATCTGTTTGGGAGGACTCAAATGCCTACTTGGCACCAAGTCCTTCTACCTCCACAGCAAGCCTAGAATCCCCAGCAGGGTTGAGTTTGAGACTTCTGGACTTAACTCATTTCAGAGAAGGTTCTCTGGACTTCCAAGTTGCAGGGCATTCTAAACTCAGTGGAACTCTTCCTTACCCATTGGCCCCCCAGATCTGCTCCACAGGGACAGAACACAGGCCCTCAGTAGTCTGAACTGTTACCTTTAGGAACTACTAGACTGAAGCCCAAGGAGTCAGCAAATGAATACACTTCAATATTAAACTTGATTTACAACCTTGACATTATAATAAAAGATAGTATTTTTAGAGAAGTTTGTTAAAATTGTAAGTTGCTTTAAAATACCAAGAAAATCACCAGGAATTTTATGCTGAAAACAAAGTATGCTTAGGTGTAGTTAATCCTACTAAAATTTTTTTTAAAGTCGTTCTTATAAAATCTATTTTAAATCTTAAATATTAACCTGTTTAAAAAAAAAAACTAAGACATTTTAACCAATCATAGCTGGTTATTACTTTTCAATGAAAGCAACTAGAACACATAGTTAACTCTGGACTATTTTCTACCTGGACAGACTTTAAATGCTCCCCTATTATCTCAATACTTCCTACTGAGCCATTTTCTAGTAGTGCATTTCTAGAAATAATTATTCTACAGGAAGGAATAGAAAAAACATGTTAAGCAAATAAAATCAAGAGATTTTATAAAACATCTTTCTAATCAAAGCCAGAAAAGTTTGCTTCTACATTCAACAAACTTGGAATTTAAAAAAAAATTCAGTTTTGGAATCAGGTACAATGCATGAACCAAACTACCATACAAACCCACAGGCCTCACAAGGTCACTCAGTCATCCACTTCTTTCCCACAGCAGTAAGTAGAAAGACATTCCTTACCAATAGTCCTCAGTATAATTCACAGCCTCCTCAGTATTATAACACGTTGTAACTAATCTTGCTGGACAGAAAGATTCCACCCAGCTGTGATTAAATTTTTGTGCGGACAAGTGATTTTAGCACTTGTGCTAGTCTGGCAGTCATGAAAGGTGAAACAGACACCAAATGCTGCATCTGACCAGCTGACGTCTCTGAGAAAAAAGGCTCACTGCTGCAAGGAAAGCAGCTGGGAGTGGCATGAGAAGAAAGTCTGTTCTAGCTCCCTTTCATCCACTAAAGTGGTATACTTTCCAAGTCACAGGAGAAACCTGTCTACGGCACAGAAGGTTAGTTGAGACCGTGAGCAAACTGGCCAGGATGAAATAATGTGGCTGCTGAGTTCAACACTGATTTGTTCTCTTGTGATTTGGTTCTTTACAAAAACAAAGGCACCTGGTTCATGATGGTGGGAAAAGGACCACAGAGATTAGACTCAATTGTGATTAAAGAAGTCCCTCCTCCTGGTGCTGAGGACACCCAGGCCTCTCTGGTCCTTGTGCAGGTGGACAACAAAGCTGCCAGTTCTGAGTGTGAACTGTCCTTCAGGGTTTTAATAGAATTGCCAGTTTACAAGGAAATCACCTTTGCAAATGTTTAAGTCTCCTAGGCAGCTTAACTAGTCACAAGTTTCAGATCTTTTAGCTCAATCTACATTTGATTTACAAATGGAAAATATATGATTGTTAACAATACTGGGAAATCAAAGCACTAGAACCTGAGAGTGTCTAGGTGACACAATTGTTAATCTTTGTCACTGATGTTTTACTTGGTGCTGGGGATTGAACCCAGGGCCATAGGAATGCCAAGCATGCACTTTTACTTGTGAGCTGCCCCCCCCTCCCAGCAATGGCTTTTGTTTTTTTTTTGGCGGTACTGGAGTTTGAACTCATGACCTCATGCTTGGTAGGCAGGAGCTCTACCACTTGAGCCATTCCACCAGCCCTGTTTTGTGTTGGGTTTTGAGATAGGGCCTCTGGAATTATTTGTCCAGGCTGGCTTCAAAGGGAGATCCTCTGCATCTCTGCCTCCTGTAGCTGGGATTACAGGAGTGAACCACTAGTGCCCAGGTCAGCAATGGCTTTTTAATGGTTTCCATCCCTCGCCTCTACCAGTATATAGCTAGCCTTCTTTTAGATATCTTCAGGAATATTTCTCCTCTGTTCTCCAGTAACCTATTCCATTGTCTCTAAACCTTATGGGAGGAAAAGCTGCCTACATGATATCTCTTCTGTGACACCTCTTCTACAGCTTTTGGTGTAAAAAGCTTTGGGAAGTTTGGACTCAGCTATTAGGTTACTCCTTAGTCAGTGAAATCTTTGTGCCAAGAGGAGCTGGATCATTGCAGATGGGAACAAAGCTGCAGTGTAAGCTGTCTAACATAACTTCACAAGAAAAGTGAGACACTGGCTCCACTACTTTCCTCATTCTCCCTTCACCAGCCTCACATCTGGCCTGTATGCAGCAATGACATCGACATTGGACACTTTGGGGCTGAGATACAATCTCCAAAACTGGCCTCTACTCAGTTCTTTAAAAGTTTACTGAAATAAAATGCTTCTGGGCTGCGGCCCCAGGGATGCATAAACAGGAGGAAGCCTTAATTCAGGCTTCAACACTTATCCCCGCTCCCCTCCCCGCCATACCTCTACTTCGTCCATCACCAGTCCCATTGGTGATAGCCACACAAAGGTAGGGTCACAGGCACGCCCATCAATCCCCACGAACCCAAGCTTAGCCGCGCACGCGCGCGGGTATTCGATCACGTGCATGGTCACATAGACCGGCCCACTCGTGGGCCACACTCATAAAGTTACACCCAGCCCAGGCATCTGCGCATGCTCCACACACACACACACCCACCTACAACCCTACACACCCACTCCCGCTTCCCAAAGCCTCGCCCACCCCTCACCTGACGTGGCCGCCCCCACGTCCCTTTCCTTGCTGCCCTAGGCGGTTCTCCGCTCCAGTTCAGGCTCGGGCGGCGGAGGTGGCCGAACGCGGGTGGGAGAGGCGGCCGCGGGGACAACGACCCGCAGGCGCAGCAGGGGCGCGCTAGAGGCCGGCCGCCGCCGAGGGGCGGAGCGCGCGGCCAAACAAGCCCTGGCCGCCGCCTCCCTCCTCCGGAACCTTCTGCTCCGCCAGCCCGAGCCTCCCGCTTCCGGGTCCCCAGGGGCGGGGCCAGGCTGCGGAGGGGAGGAGCCACGTCGCGGGGGGCGGGGCTGCGTAGGTCTGCCGGTCACTATGGCGACGGGGTGGGTTTGAGACATAGCTGGGAAACTGCAGGCGTCCCGGGTGCTCCTGGCGGGAGGGGGTCGCCGGGTCAGGCCGGACGGTGACGGCGGACTCGGGACCTGTCAGTGGGTCGCCTGTCTGACGTAGGCAGGGAAAAGAAAGGGGCACTTACCCCTGGGAACCTGCTTGTGTCATCAGTTCGCGGGCGTCGTCGTCGTGGTGGAAAGCTTTTGGGGCGCGGGGACACCTTTGGGCTCCGGGCTTTGGTGAACAGGACCTAGTGTACTCTCTCTTCTTGGCAAGGTTTTTTCCTTTTGGCGCAACTAGAGACTCCGTCCCTAGTCTTCCACTCCAAGCTCCCTTCTCCTTTCCAGCCTCGTGCTGATGTCCTGGGGGAGTTTTGGTAACGAAATTCCACTCAGTCTCCCTTCCTTCAGCTTGGTCTTGG